ATCCTTCCTGTCTTCTCCCTGCTATTATTGCCTGAAATGCTGTAATTTAGATTCCGGCTGTGTTTGATTGCAAACTCCCCCAATCTACAAATTTCAGTGACAAGCACTAGAGCAGCTCATTTACATGCCAAAGTGATCAATCTGGAACTGCTTGTTACACCAGAGAATAAATAAATAACGGATACATTAAAGAATGGGGAACAATCAGCCAAATTAACCAATAGATGTCGAATAATGACAAGCCCTGACATCCTCAACAGGGAACAAGAGAGAGAGGGATGGGACCAGCTTTCCCAGCATTGCCCAGGGCTGCTCTGCACTCATCTATCTCCTCTTGTCCCATGAGCCAACAGAGATGTGCATCAATGACAGGAGACAGCCAGCAAGGGCTGGAGCCTGAAATCCTGGCTCTTAAACCACATACCTGTGTTTCTTCCTCACACCTGCTCTGTGCAAGCATCCATCATAGGAATAACTCATCCTCTGGGACAGCAATTAAAAACATTTCAGACACGTGGCAGCGTGCCACACAGTGTCACACAGTGTGGCAAGTGGCTTTGCAGCCTGATTTTCACCTGACATCTCATGAAATCCTTCCAGGGCACCATCTTTCTCCACAAGTCCCTGCCAGGACGATGGATCTAGGTGGGGGTCAGTCTTTTCTCCCAGGTAACAAGTGACAGGACAAGAGGAAATGTTCTCAAGTTGCACCAGGGGAGGTTTATGCTGGATATTAGGGAAAATTCCTTCACTGAAAGGGCTGTCAGGCACTGGTACAACTGCCCAGGGCAGTGGTGGTGTCACCATCCTTGGAGGGATTTAAGAGGTATGGATATGGCTCTTGGGGGCCTGGTTCAGTGATGGACCTGGCATTAACCTGGTGCATTAATATTTGGACTCCAAGATCTTAGAGGGCTTTTCCAAACTTTATGCTTCCGTAATTCTCTGATTCTATTTGGGACAGCCCAGCTCAACAGCTGCAACATCCATCTGCCTGGTTATTCAAGCACCATTAAGCCAGCAGTGGCTGCAGAAAGGTGGATGCTGTGAGCTGTCCTGACCTCCCAGTGGGTGCAAGTGGCCGACTGGGATGCTGGTGACTGGCAGCAGAGGGGTGTGCTACCTGCCAGTACTGCTGATCTCCATCAGCACTGCCTCCCATTCAGGACAGGTAAGTGCCTGATTTATTCTCCTCTGGCAGCTCCTGCCTGTCAGCTCGGCACCCCAGGGATGCCCAGCAGGGAAGGTAGCGCAGCAGCATCTCTCCCTGTTTGCTACCAGCAACTCCTATGTGCCTGCAGGCACTGGGGACAGGGGGAGGCTGTGCAGGGGTCACTTCCCTTCCCCGAAGGGCTGCAGGGCTGGGGGCACACTGACCTGTCTCGCCTGGCACCCCCAGCTGGGAGGGCAGCCAGAGGAGAAGGAGCTGCCCCATGCTGAAAGGAGGAGGGATACCTGGGGTAAAAATCATCGGGAGCAGAGTTCCTGGGTGTGCAGCAGTGCCAAGAGGCCATAACAGGTGCCCTAAATCATGTGCATGCTCACCTGAGTGCTCAGGTTCTCCAAGTACCAAGGCACCGTCCTCTTAGGGGATGATTTTGTGATACCTGGGGCTCTATGGAGCATCCTCTGGCTAGTTCAGCTAATCTCTGCATTGCGCCTGGCCCTATTCCATGTCGTCTGGGGTCCCCTACATGGTGTCAGCCCCTGCTCCATGCTGGGGGCTGGCCGCGGTGCTGCGGGGCCTCTGCTGGAGCTGCCCCACAGGTAGAGCCCAGCAGGGCCGTACGGGCCCCGCACCTCCCGCCACGGTCTGATCGCCCCCGAGCAAACCCCGCTCGTCCCCCCGTCCCAGGGAGCGCCAAACCGCCCCAGCCCGGGGAAAGGGGCTTTGGGGCCTCTGGGGAGATGGGTTATCCCGGCCCACGAGCGCCCGCGGGGTGCCTGGCAGAGGTGTCCGGGCGGACACTGCAGCCGGACAGGCCTCAGGACCCGGGGTTCACTGCGGCCATCGCGCCGTGCTGAGGGCGGCGCCGGCGGTGGCACCGCGCTGCCCGAGGCAGCAGCGCCATCTCGCGGCGCGTCCCCTCGCTGCGGGCCCGCCGCAGCCCCGCTCCCGGCGGCGGGAGGAAACACCCTCAGGGTGCCGGGCCCGCCACAGCCCCGCTCCCGGCGAAGGAGGAACACCCTCAGGGTGCCGGGCCCGCCGCAGCCCCGCTCCCGGCGGGAGGGAACACCCTCAGGGTGCCGGGCCCGCCACAGCCCCGCTCCCGGCGGGAGGGAACACCCTCAGGGTGCCGGGCCCGCCGCAGCCCCGCTCCCGGCGAAAGAGGAACACCCTCAGGGTGCCGGGCCCGCCGCAGCCCCGCTCCCGGCGAAGGAGGAACACCCTCAGGGTGCCGGGCCCGCCACAGCCCCGCTCCCGGCGGGAGGGAACACCCTCAGGGTGCCGGGCCCGCCGCAGCCCCGCTCCCGGCGGCGGGAGGGAACACCCTCAGGCTGCCGGGTTGGGCCTTCCAGTGCCTGCAGCTGCGGCCTGCAGAAGCCTCCGCGATGGCGCCGTGCAGTGCTCGGGCTGCCTCCCTGCGGCCGGCACCTCTGGAGCCATGGCTGTCGCTGTCAATGGCTCCCCATTGCCAGACGGCAGGGTCACATGGGGTGTTGGGGATAAATCCTTCCCTCTGAGGGTGGAGAGGGCCTGGCAGAGGTTGCCCAGAGAAGCTGTGCCTGCCCCATCCCTGGAAATGTCCGAGGCCAGGTTGGACATGAAAAGTGTCCTTGCCCGTGTCAGGGGGTGGAACAAGATGAGCTTTAAGGTCCCTTCTAACCCAAACCAGCCTGGGATGTCTCAGCTGCAGATCCAGAGGAGGAGGAGGAGGAGTTGCTCAGAGGATGGGAGAGGAAGGGTGGCTTGACCACGGCAACTCTGAAAGTCAAGTGAGTGGGACTAAGCACTTCTCAGAAATCTCAGAGATCTGGGGGAGGGAACACCTGGACCAACACCAGCTTCCCGGAGATGCTGGAAACCCACAGCCAGCCCCTGTAATTGAGCATTTAAATGGGGTTAAGGGGACAGCAGAAGACAAAGGACACAGCGTATGAGGACACAGCCATCAATCAATGCTGGATGAAATGATGGAGTGGTCTAATTTGGGCTGTATATTAAGAAAGGGCAATAGGACAGAAATACAATTACTGTCCAGAAACACCATTTGGCAGAGGTAGATCCTTTCAACTTACCTGTCATCTTGTCTTGACATGGTTACAGGTCGAGTTGATAGGTGAACTCTGCTGATAAAATAAAATCACATTTCTTCTGGGCATCTGATTTATTATGGGGTAACATTTTGATTAAAAATGTGTAACATATTGCATTAAGCAGGCATCTAGTCAATGAATTAAAGACCAGCTCAGTGACAAATCTTTGTTGGCAAGGGACTCTGGACTGAGTTTTGGTCCTTGCCTTTTTCAGCTGTTTTGGAAATGATGCAACACCTCCCTTGGGAAGGTAGGAAGCAAAAGGCAGAGGGGATAGGGGGTTTGTTAACCCCCCTGGACTTTGGAGTCAATCTAATCCCAGGTCTGCTTACTGTCCTCTTTCCTTGGATATCCTCCCCTGAGCCCCAGCTCCAGGCCAGGGCAGCTGCCACAGGACTCCTGAAAGGATACTCAAGGGAACATGGATGAGAAGGCCCCTCCTCACTGCCCACCGTGTCCCCCATGGGGGGGGCCTGGGTGGTCCCCGGGGTCCCAAGGATGTTCACCTGCTACAGTCATTGTGGCACCTCCCCTGCCCATGTGATGGGGTTTGGGGTCTGGTGGCATTTTGGGGATCTTTTTCAGCAGAGCTGAATGTGCACCCCTGGACTCATTCCCTGCACTCAGTGATAGGAGGTGCTGGTGTTTAACCTCGAGGCCACACTCAGTTCCTGGGGTTGCCCAAATCTGGCTGGTGCAAGACACAGCTACCCAAAGGGAACTGAGAGCATCATCAGTGCCAGACACCCTCATCTTTTCCCATTCTATTCTAGACACCAGGTCCCCAAAGCACTGAAGTGAGGACAGCGGGAAGGAGATTGTTGGACCATGGACTATCCTGAGCTGGAAGAAACCCCCAGGGATCATCAGTCCCACTCCTGGCCCTGCACAGACACTCCAACAATCCCATCCTGTGTCTCAGAGCATTGGCAAACACTCCTGGAGCTCTGGCAGCCTTGGGGCCATGACTGTTCCCTGGGGAGCCTGGGCAGTGCCCAACTACCTTCTGGGGGAAGAACCTTTCCCCTTTCCCTAATATCCAACCAAAATACTCAAGGACCAGCTGAGCCACACAGGCACTGATGATCCTTTTGCTGGATCCTGCTCCATCCAAGTGCAGTGCCAAGGTGGGCATCTGGAGGGGTCAGCACCCAGCAGCACCATGACAAAGTGACAGACACTCTGCCCATCAGCCAGAGCAGAAGCCTCCAAGGGTGATCTCCTGCCCTGAGCATCCCTTGGGTGGCTGTGACACCTGGTACTCCCATCACCTGTCCCCTCCTGTCATCTCAGCAGCCTGTGGGCATCCTCCAGTCATGTTGCTTTGTGCCAAGTCACCACCAGCCCCTGCTGCTGGGCCAGGCTGGGCACCCAGTGGTGCTGCACTCTCCCTGACCAAGCTGTTTCCAGTAAAACCAGAGTCAAGCATGGAAAGAGGAACAAGTTTCTTTCTCTTAGAGAGAAAATGAAACTCAACACATCCCTTCTCCAACCAGGCAAACCGCAGTGCATGCAAGTTCATCCTTCCCACCCCTCTCCTCTTCCTTCCTACTCCCAGAGAAGACCTTCCAGCAAACAGAGCTGCTCACACTGCCCTGTCTTCAGCCTCTGCACCAAGGTAATTCACCACAAACAGCTGGGGACACTCTCCCCTTCTGCCACCACTTTCCAGTCCTTGCTCCCTGTCCTCCTTCGTTCTTCACTTCCCCCTCCACAAGGGTTTAAAGTAGAAAAAGAGGGAGGGAGAAGATGATGCAGGAGGAAGAGGAACCTGCAGGAATCTGTCCTTGCTCTGTGTGATTGTGGACACCGCTGGGCTCTGCAGACTTGTCCCAGGCTGAGAACCTCAGATTTTGGGATAGATCCATGTCCTCTCTCCCAGCTCTGCATGTTGGAGGTTTGGATATCATTTTCCCTTTTTCCCTTTCCCCTTTAGCACTGTTGTGTCTTTGCATCCTTTCCTCCCTTGTGCTCTCTATCCCATGGGGCCACTGCCCCACACAGCAGTGCTTCACCCCGCAAACTGGAATAAACATCCTCTACAGGCATCTGAGGTGCCCCTACCCATGCCCAGGATGTGGAGGAAGGGGTATGTGCCATGCTCCATGTCCTGGGCTTTCCAATCCCAGAGCTCTGCCATGGGCATGCTAGAGATTTTCAGTGCCATCAGTGATTTCGGATCACACAGCCTCAAAACCCTTCCCTGCATGTGGTGTCTGGTTATCCATACTGGACAATTCAGTAGATCTGTGGATGCATCTGATGATGGCACCTGCATATCTGTGTGTGTTTGCCTCCATCCCCAATTCATCCCTGTGCTGTAGGAAGCAGGATGCAACCTGGATTCTTGCTGGCAGCCAGCATCCTAGCAGCAGTGCTGGGCATGGCCCTGCTGGAGGACGGAGTCTGTAGGGCACCGGATGGCAAGAATGGCTCCCCTGGAGTCCCTGGCCGTGATGGGAGGCCAGGGCAGAAGGGTGACGTGGGAGAGCCAGGTAAGAGGAAGCCGGGGATGTTGGGGGCCTGGGAGCCTCTTGGTCAGAGCACCCCAGGCTGTGGGAGCAGCTCAGGAGATGCCAGATGGGCATGAACTACTTCTCCTCCCCTCTTCTCCCCAGGGCATGCAGCACTGAGCTCGAGCATTGAGGGACCCAAAGGGGATGCAGGCGAACCAGGATATCCTGGGCCACCAGGCAGGCGTGGCCTACCTGGCCTACCAGGCCCTCGGGGGATGCCAGGGGTGCCAGGGCCACCAGGGCAGAAAGGGCAAGCTGGCAATGCTTTGGAGCACCCGCGTCCCGCCTTCTCCGCCTCCAGGCTGGCCCCGCCACACGCAGGCACCACGGTGGTGTTTGACAGGATCATCACCAACGAGGAGAACTCCTACAGCCCCCAGACCGGGAAGTTCACCTGCCGCATTCCCGGGCTCTACTACTTCAGCTTCCAGGTGGTGTCCAGCGGAGACCTGTGTCTGAGCATCACCAAGAACGGGCGGGGCGTGGTCAGCTTCTGCGACAACAACAGCCGCGGCATCCTGCAGGTGAACTCGGGCAGCAGCGTGCTCAGCCTGGCTGTGGGTGACCACGTGTCCCTGACCACCAACCCTGTCCAGGGCAGCTCCATTTACAGCGGCTCCGAGGCTGACAGCGTCTTCAGCGGGTTCCTGGTGTCCCCAGAGACGGCCTGAGGGACTCCCACAGCATCGTGGAGTGTCTGCCTGCCTGGCTGCTCCCCTCTGGGTGTGTGGGAGGCTTTAGTGCCACAGCACATGGGGATGGTTGCAGGTTGATCATCCAGAAGTGTTCTGTGCTTTCCCAGTGTCACAACTGGCCAAGCTGTGGGTCACCACTGCAGTGCTCACCTCCATGCTGAGCCTGCCTGCACTGTCCTGGAGGCTGTGGACTCTCATCCCTTTCTCCTCCTGGGCACTCAAGCTCCACTCCGAGTTGTCACCAGCTGTGGCTCTTTGCTTCTGAGTGGGAAATCACTGCCTGCTGCTGCTTCTGCTCCTGCTCCACCAACCACTGCAAAAGCCTTCCTGGCACTGGGACAGATCATGTCACAACCTCCTCATCAGTATAAATAAATGCTTCTTCTACTACTACTCCTTGGGTTTTCTTTTCTACTCATGCATCTTTCCCAAACCATCAATATCCTGGACCCCTTCCCAAGCTGCTGGGGAGAGAAGTGATTCCAGCTTGTCCCTGGCACTGCAAATGCAGAACGACAGGGAGGAGTGGAGTGTACAATCATGGCTGACACTTCCAGGGAGGAATAAGAAACATCTGGGACAGGGCTATATGTGTCCTTCTCTGCTGAGCCCAAGGTGACTATCCTGCAGGGGAAAACACAGGCAGCAGATCCTGTACCTCACCCACATGGTCCCAAGTTGGCACCCAGACTCTCCCAGGAAGGCAGAAGGCAGCTGTGGTCCTCTGGCATTACAGCAAGGAGGGACAGGGACATTGGAACACGGATGGGGTTGTGGGGTGATGGTGGTGGAGCTGCCATCAGATGCCATACCCTGGGACTGCTCCTCAGGGGAGCTGCTCCACAAGCACTGGGCACTCAAATATCCCCATTCCTGGAGCAATGAGGAGGAGGCTCTATCCTGCTGGGAGCAACACCCCAGTGAGGGATCTTGGGGCCTCACTGAGTCCAGCACCCAGCAGAACTTGGTGGGGCATGGGGAAAGGTGCAGGTCAGAAACTCTTAAAGGGAAGCATCTTCCTGTCCTATTTAGGGGTGCAGCATCTTCCATGAGAGCCAGGCAGTGACCTTGCAGCAGCCCCTCAGTGCCACAGGCATCTCCAGCCCACTGGAGCTGGCCTGAGGCTCTGCTCCCAAGCTGCCCTTCTGCTCAGAAACAAGGGAAGTAAGAGGGAAAGCAAGGGATCTGGGGAGGGCTATTCCCTGCATTGGGGAGTTGTGCCACATCTCTTTGAGCTGTGTCCCACCTCTTTCCTTGCAGCCCTTCCTGTTGCAGTGGCACCAGTACAGATTTCACTGGAGAGCCAAGAAAGTGCTGTCTCAGCAGAAAGCATCAGGCAGGAGGATGTGAAATTTGGCTAGGAACAGCTCGGGTTCTGTGTTCACAAGGGCCCTTAACTGTTTCCTAACTCTGTGACTTCCTCCATGAGGGTGTCAGGGAGCCGCGCCCACCGCGCTGTGCTGGCAGTGACCACGCGCCCAGCGGGACCGGCAGCCTGGGATCCCTGGCCTGGTCCCCACCAGAGGTAAGAGGTGCTGCAGGGTCCCTGTCTCGAGGGTGGGACTGGGGGTCCAGCAGCATGCCACACTGCTGGAGAGGGCAAGAATGAGAGGAGGATGTGGATGAGAGAGGAGGAGGAGGAGAGGACGAAGGCAGAGGCACTGACGGGCTGCACGCGTGTGATGGAGACAGGATGGACCAGCTGATGGAAGGATTGATCCCGATGGACAGAACCAGGACAGTCAGGCTGCTGCTGGAGGAGGAGGAAGATCAGCTATGTGCAGGGAGTTCCAGCCTCAGTGCAGCACGGGGTGACAGTCTGCAGTGGTGTGAGCATCTCCAGGGTTTGGGGACACTGCACTCAGAGGGCTTGGGGCTGGCCATGGGCACCTCAGAACTCATGGCTCCATCCTGACTGAAAGTCCAATGCACGCTGTGCCATCCGGCTGCCCTGGTGTTGGTGATGAGCCTGGGGCCCATCTCCACATATCCACCTCCCCACTATCCTGCAGTGTGTATAGGTGGGACATTGAGGACACACACAAGGCATCCAAGTGTTCCTGGTATATCCAGGCTCCTTTTCTCCATGTCCTGCAAGCCACCCTGCTGTGACCCCTCACTCCAGCACTTTCTTTCACTTTCTGTGCTACAGAACACCAAAATGGAGAAGAGATTCTGGGAGCAGCTCTATCTGGCCCTCACTGTCCTCCTCCTGAGTGTGGGCTCTTCTGTGACTGTAGAGGACCCTCACAGCTGCTATGGAGCTCCAGGCCTGCCAGGCATGCCGGGTATACCAGGCAGGGATGGCCGGGATGGACTGAAGGGAGCCAAAGGGGAGCCAGGTGAGTGAGCAAAGAGGGAAACCACATGGGCTCTTATAGGGCTACACTGAGTCCTCAATGGCTGGTCTGCCTGGGTTTGCAGGATGTGGAGAGCATCCTCTGTAGTCAGGTGGAAGAGGCAACAGCACTCTCCAGCCTAAAGGAAGGGGCTAGAGAAGCCTCTCCCCACATCCTGCCATTGACACTGACTCCCTTTCACTCCTCACCATCCCACAGGTATCCCAGCTCCTTCTACACAGCTGGGGCCCAAGGGTGTGAAAGGGCCACCAGGCCCACGTGGCCCTCCAGGCAAGCCTGGCCCCCCTGGGGCCCCTGGTCCAATGGGAATCCCTGGGGAGGCAGGCCATGCCGGCCCCCCGGGAATGCCAGGCACCTCCATGCAGAAGCAGCAGTCAGCGTTCTCAGTGACGAGACAGACCAGCCAGTACCCCTTGAAGAACGTCCCCGTGGTTTTCAACAACGTCATCACCAACACCAACCACGACTACGACACTGCCACGGGCAAGTTCACCTGCAGGCTCCCTGGTGTCTACTACTTCGTCTTCCACAGCTCCCACACAGCCAACCTCTGTGTCATCCTGCACAAAAACGAGAGGAGGATGGCCAGCTTCTGTGACCACAAGACCAACACGGTGCAGGTCAGCTCGGGGGGGGCACTGCTCCACCTGGCTGCTGATGACAAGGTCTGGCTGGAAGTGAACGACTACAACGGCATGGTGGGCATTGCCAACTCCGACAGCATCTTCTCAGGCTTCCTGCTCTTCCCAGACTAGAGGATCAGCAGAGCTCACCCCAGCACCCCAGCGCCTTCCACCTGCCCTGAACTCACTGCTCGCTGCTGGGCTCTTCCTGATGCTCCCAGTTTCTCTGCAGGGAGGGCATCAAGCCCAGCAGCCAGACCCCCCCCTCAGTCTGGGGGCTGAGCCCTGGTAGCTACTGCACAGGGGGAACAGGAACATCTGCTACATCTGCACCCAGAGTGATGGTGCTGAGCTCCTGGTCCTGCTGGCACTGCTATGTGCATCCCCCCTGCTAACCCCACATTACCTCGGGTCTCCCTGTGTTTTTCCCTTTCCCACCTGGGCTGCCTCAGGTTCAGCAGGCTGCAGCAGCCCCTTTGCCATGACCTGGCTGTGGAAAGTGTCAATAAAACCTTCCCCAGTGCACCTCGTGTAGTGTGTTGTTTCCTCCAAATGTGCACGTGACATCTGGCCATCTATGTGGCATCAGCATGTCACCAAGGCTCACCAGCATCAGAGACCACCACACCCCACCCACACCTGGCTTTGCACTGGGGGTGGGACCCCTGGCTACTGCAGGAACAGGATGGTTCCTGTGTCCCCACACAGCCCCTATCAAGAGGGCACCAAGACTCATCCAAGCAGGACCCTGATATTCCCCTTCTCTCCAAAGCTCTACAGGGGCACAGACTGCAAAGGAAACCCCAACACCATGGCTGGGACATCCCTGGGGTCCCTACCAGGATGGGGCAGGGGAAATGCTCTGGCTTTCCTGAGCCAAACCAGAGGAGCTTGTGGTTGTGGAGGATGCAGAGCCCACCAAAACCCAGCAGGGATTTCTCCTGGTGTCACACATTGAAGGATGGAACAAGACAGTCTCCTTTCCAAATGTCCTGTACTTCACTTCCACAAGGCAGTAGCCAAAGCAGGGAATGCTTTTCCCACAGGGCAAAGTCACTTCCCATGCATGGACTCAAGGTGATGGATGCTGAGACCCTGCAGCATCCCCTGGGCCTGCAGAGCTGGAAGCACGTGGAGCAGCCTGAGGGGTGCTGCCTGAATGCTGCACATTTCTGCAGCTCTGTTGGGTTACCTTAAACTCATCTGGAGCTCCAAAGAGTATTCCTCATAGCAAACACCCCTAAGCAGGACCCAGGGACCCTGCAGGGCAGAGCTGTGGCTGGAGGGGCTCGGGGTGCTATTTGGGGATGACTTGTCCTGCTCAGCTGACAACAGCATTCATGGAGGATCTGAAACTGCCACGGAAAAAGGACAGGAGCTAAAGATAAAAAGGGGATGTGTCCCAGATCCTTTCACAATAACCCTTGCAGCAAACTTCTGCTTCTCCTCTCAGGCATTTCCGAGCAGGACGCTGGGGTGCCCTGCTCTGTCTCCCCACCTGATGAACAAGGAGCTCAAGGTAAGAGCAAGACTGAGCCCAAGGTTCCCCCCATAGGCAGGAGCACGTGGGGAACCCAACTCTGGCAGGGTGACAGTCACCTGCATTGCTGGTACTTCCCCGTGGCCTGGGGCAGAGAGAAACTGGGGGTGGAGGTGCTGGGCTGGGGGTGGTGGAGGTCCCTGATGGGACCCTGACCCTTCCTGTTCCACCTGGAAGAAGGAAAACATAAAAGCAGAGATGGCAGATTCCAGAAGGGTTATCAGGGACTGAAAGGTGCATCAGTCTGAAAGGTGCCCTGGGGGTGCTCTCCTGCCCTGAGAAGCTCTTGTCTTCTGATGGCTGGGAAACTGTGAATCAGTTTTTGTTCCTGCTGCACCCAAATCAGAATGGCTGTGGCTGAAGGATCCAACTCACCCATCTTTTGTCCTGCTGGCACCAGAGCTTCAGCACTGGGAAAATCCACCTGGGATGGGGGAGTTGTGGCTAGGGTGCTGTGATGTCCAGATCCAGCCCCCAAATGCCCAGTGCTTATCCACATGCACCCACACCAGGATCTAGGGGAAGGAGTTGGGTAGGAAGGGCAGGAAGAAGGTAAGACCCCAGGCATGGAAGCCCAGATAACTGTCCCAGTGAGGCTTGTGAGATACAGAAATGCCTCTGGCATTGAACAGCTGTGTGACAGGTCACAAGGGGAACCGGTGGGTTGGAGGAGGGAGGCTTGGGGGCTCATTGCCATCTTCAAGGACTGACACTGTCCCTTAGACATGCTGGTGGAAGGCAAGACCTGTTCCCTTGCAGATGACAAAACTGCTCTGGTTGGGTAAGGATTTTACCCTGCAAGTATGGTCCTGAGATGAGATGGGGAATTTCTCCCACAAGGCAGCAGCATGGCCACGTTGGACATCAGAT